GCAGAGGAAAGGGAAGAAGAGGCAGATCACCTGCAACAGGAGCAGGATTGACAGGCAGAGGAAAGGGAAGAAGAGGCAGATCACCTGCAACAGGTGCAGGATTGACCGGCAGAGGAAAGGGAAGAAGAGGCAGATGACCTGCGACAGGTGCAGGATTGACAGGCAGAGGAAAGGGAAGAAGAGGCAGATGACCTGCAACAGGTGCAGGATTGACAGGCAGAGGAAAGGGAAGAAGAGGCAGATCACCTGCACCAGGTGCAGGATCGACAGGAAGGTCACCTGCACCAGGTGCAGGATCGACAGGAAGGTCACCTGCACCAGGTGCAGGATCGACAGGTAAAGGTAAGGCAGCAGGTACAGGAAGAACAGGAAGAGGTGCAGGGCCGACCACGACCTCCAGGGCCGCTACCTCGTTCCCAGGAGCAGGGAGCTCATCTTGTCGCCCTGAAAAAGAAAAACACACGGTGCGTGAGTGAAACTCTCTTCACAACCCTGCATCTTCTGGTGGCTTTTTGCTTCACCACGTTTTGCTGTAACTATTTTACGAGGTACTTTTTTTCGTAAGAGCTTTTAGTTGTAGTTTTAGTAAGTTTTACGGCACTTGCAACACAATAAGGTCATATAAGTGCCGAAGATTAGATGTTACAGGAGAGTAAAAAACATAAAAAGGAGGAGATCAGGACGATAGATGTTCGATAGGAAAAAAGAAGCAAACCACACCTACCAAAGTACCCGCCAACCACCCACTTCATAAGCGTTTTACGGCACTTGCTTCACAATAAAGTCATAAAAATTCCGACGATTAGAGGTTTTGATTGATTGAGTAGGCGTTTTACGGCACTCTCGACCCAATGAAGATTATTTTTAAAATGTTTTAAATAGTAGAGGGATTTACGGCGCTCGCAACTGCATTAGGTCATATGAGCGCCAAGGGTTCGGTGTCAACAGAGAAGTCTTTACATGGAATCAGACTTACTCTGCTCACCTCTCTAGCTTCAACAGCACAAGGTCTGCCTCAACTATCAAGGCACCCCGGAAGTAGCAGGTCTCAAAAGAGTGACAAACATACAAAAGAAGTAGAGGAAAATAACAATAGCAAGGATTAAGAAAGAAAAAGCAGCAGTTCCCTGTTGTAGATCAGGCACAGTTATGAGCGTGACAATTCTACTGTGCTTGAACTAGAAATATCCCCCCTTTAGGAATGGCCTAAAGACACTACAGTCAGTGGCACTGACATTCTCATTCTCACTCTCACTCTCACTCTCACTCTCACTCTCATTCTCACTCTCATTCTCACTCTCACTCTCATTCTCACTCTCATTCTTACTCTCATTCTTACTCTCATTCTTACTCTCATTCTTACTCTCATTCTTACTCTCATTCTTACTCTCATTCTTACTCTCACTCTCATTCTCACTCTCTCACTATCTCTCTCGCTTTCTCACGCTTCCCTCCCTCTTTCTCTCACTTATGCGTGCGAGTGCGTGCATACACACACACACATACACACACACACACACACAAGCATATACACACACAAGCACATACACACACGATGCTAATCAATCAGAAATGTAGCAAACAATTTAAAATTTATATTTCGCTGATAAAGCCAAATGAGAATATGAAAGTCTTACTGTGCTGCCTGCAGTAAGGCTGTGATAGACGCCGTCTCCTTTTGCAAAGTCGACGGCGTCCGCTGACTAGTGTAAGTTCCTGGCATTGTCCAAGCTGAAAACAGATTTAAAGAACATTTTAGTTAGTTATGGTAGAGGTTTTACGGCGCTCGCAACTGCATAAGGTCATATGAGCGCCGAAGATTAGGGGTGTTACAAGAGAGTAACAAACATAAAAGAAGGGGAGACAAGGACGATAGATGTTTGATTGGAAAGAAGCAAACCACACCGGAGCACCCGCCAACCACCCACTAATAATATTTAAGAACAGATCCTAACTAATCAGCTTCTATTACAAAAAAGGCGAAATGAGAATGACAGTATTATGTTGGAAAATGGAAGGCTCGCACCTGCCTAAGGTCATATGAGCGTGCGAAACAAGGTTTTTTCTCAACAGTTCATTTCTCGGCTTGATACTGGTCAATATTTCTATTATAAAAATTTTAAACGCTAAAAAACGAGTGTAAATAGGCTTTAGATTTAAATTTAAATTCAAAACAACTTTCTAAATAACACTTCATTTCGAACAATCTATTTCAAAACTTTTATAAAATCTAAATTAAATCCCATTAAATTCGGAATATCAGGTATACAATGTTGGAAGTAAAAAGTGGAAATTATATATACATGTAGATATCTGAATAAAAATGGGAAACAACAGGTTGCCAAGATCCATTGGGAAGATTGGAACATTAACTTTGTGTCAGATGCGATGCCCATCTGGTGACCTGGAATTTGCCAGACTTTGGGGAGACCTGAAGGAATTACTTTTTTACGCACTGATTTGAAGAATTTGTTCTCCTTCATTGATCCTAACAGAGGTCTCAATGTTTGGTCTTTACTCTAAAAATACGACCTTAACGCAGTTGTAGGCGCTGTTTACCTCTAAAACAAAAGAAAACCAAGAAAGAGGAAAAAACATTTTAAAAAGAACGCCCCCCCCCAAAAAAAAAGAATAAATACAGAAACAAAAAAACTTTACAAATCCCACAACAACAACAAAAACTTACGTCGTTCGCTGCCAGTGGTTGATCAGCCTGCAACACCGGCATTGCAAGCTCAGGACGGTCAGGGTGTAAGTCCACTTGCATAGGATCCGCTTGCAACACCGGCATTGCAGGACCCGCCTGTCCCACAGGCATTGCAGGATCCGCCTGATCCGCCTGTCCCACAGGCATTGCAGGAAGCATAGGGGGCTGGTCTCGGCCAGCTTCAGGCCGACCTGCAAAAGAAAAACATACTGTGCGTGAGTGAAGCTCTTTACAACCCTGCATCTTCTGGCTGCTTTTTGTTTCACGACGTTTTGCTGTAGCTATTTTACGCGGTACTTTGGTCACTTAACCCTACCCGTACGCCCTGGGGTCATTTTATTCCCCCGAGGTTGTTTTCTTCACATTTTAGAATACTTTTAGTATGAAGATCTCTTTGGAACTTTCAGTTAGTTCAGTATGGGGTTTTACGACGCTCGTAACTGCATAAGGTCATATGAGCGCGCGAAACACAAGTTAGTTTTATTCGCAGTTCACTGTACGGCTGTAATTCGGTTTAGATATATATTTTCAATTTAAAACAACTTTTATAAATAACATAAAAATTTAAATAATTCGATTTGCTCAACAGTTTCCCATAAAGGCCAATGGCCTTCATAAAATTCAAAATTTTGTTGGAATCAACGACGGAAAAAATTTCTTGCAATTCTTTACATTTAAAGTATTTCCTTCGGATCTCTCCGAAGTCTAGACATTAGGTTAAAATGTGTCTAATGCTTCTCATCTCCCTGAAGGAGGTATTCGTGAGTTAGGGGCGTGTGTCCGATTCATAATCGAGTAAAAACGACTTCGTCTCTTCTGGAGAGGTCCGAAGGATTTCGCGGTCCTAGTTTGGGTTTGATATTGTGGATTTTGTTACCCGTCTGGTTTTTTTCCAGTGGCTCTCCCACAGACTGGAGGTGTACTTTTTGACTTTAATTTTAAAGTCAGTCTGTGGTTTGTTTTTTTGGGTAGATGTTTTAAGGCACTATCGACACAATTTTGGTCATTTAAGCGCCATCGGGTTTCACCGCTACAAAATCAGACGTGTTTTTAATAAGAGTCTTTCGGAGCTCGCAACCGCAAACGATCACACTATTTAGT